TCACTAATTTTTTTAAAATATATTATAGAGGATGATAAGTTTCGTATTCCCTGAAATTTTCACTTCGATCTGATTACCTTTTCCTATATAAACAATCAAAATACTAGCGATATTTTTCATATGAATTTTTTTTGACTATTTTTCAATAAATTTTAGGCCAGTTTTCTTCAGTAAAAGTGACTTTCTCATGATAATTTTTGAAATTTTTGACTTCCTATTGTTTTTTTTATCTATAAATATTGAAGTATTGTCCTTCTCTATATTTCTATATTTTGTTCAAGTTCCATCATCTAGAATATCTAACGACTTTTGTCTTTGAGAAAAGTAAAGCACTTTTAATTAAAAGTCATATTATCTTATTGTTCATAAGATATGTATGAAGATATTATTTCATTTTTCATTGATTATACATTCTCGATCGGTTAATATTTTCCTAAGTAGCTACTTTTTTTGTTGTAGGTAGTATGATAATTGAAGGTAACTAAATCAGACCTTCAACATTTTTAGTGTTAACAAAGAAAAGGACGATAAATTTAGAGGTAGATCACTTTCATACAAAATAGCTTAAAAGATTATATGACCAGGCTCTTATTGTGAAAAATTGAAATTTATCGAGAACAAATCTGATATTCGGAGTCAGCATGAAAAATTATACTAGAAAATATGCTTTCCATCTTGAAATGTTATCTATGAGAATTTCACTATATTCAACCTCAGCTATTTACCCCTAGAATATTTCCTTCGGATGAAATTTCTATGGAAGATATTTTATAATGAAATATTTTCTGATTTAGTTTTCAAGCTGACTCCGAATATCAGATTTGTTCTCGATAAATTTCAACTTTTCACAATAAGCGCCTGACCATATCATCTTTTAAGTTATTCTGTATAGAAATAATCCACCTCTAAATGTATTGTTCTTTTTTTTTGTTAACACTAAAAATACTGAAGGTCTGGTTTACTAATTTGCAATCATCATATGATCCACAAAGAAAACATAGCTACTTAAGAAAATATTAACCAATCGAGAATATATAATCAATAAAAAATAAAACAATATTTTCAAAATATATCTTATGAATAATAAGATAATATGACTTTTAATTAAAAGAACTTTACTTTTCTCAAAGATAAAAGTTGTTAAATATTCTAGACGATGGAACTTGAACAAAATATAGAAATATACAGAAGAACAATACTTTAATAGTTATAGATAAAAAAAAAATGGGAAGTTAAAAGTTTCAAAAATTGTCATGAGAAAGTCACTTTTACTGAAGAAAACTGGTCAAAAATCTGTTGAAAAATAATTAAAATAACCATATGAAAAATATCACTAGTATTTCGATTGTTTATATAGAAAAAAGTAATCAGACCGAACTGAAACTTTCAGAGAATACTAACCTCATCATCCGTGTACCAATATTATGTTGATTATTTGTGTTATCAACTGGTAATGATATCGAAGCTGATGTTAAATATGTGAGAATGATTATTTGTGTTAAAGTTTTTTCGCGTTGACAAGGAAGCGATGAATGAGTGATGTCAAACGGTTTATCATTATTTTTAAGCTCTTTTATTACTTCATACGGAATAGCAGCTTTCAAATCTCTATAATAATTTGAAATTTTTCATGATATTTTTTTTTGTCATTGTGAACAATTTACCATAATAACAATTGATACTGGTATTTAATGTATTATTTAAACCATTTTGAACTCTTAAATGATATTGTTGACAGTCAATTAATGTAAAATCATTTAAAGTCAAATTTTCTTTATTATCATTGTGCCAACGCTGTATTGAATTAGTTGTATATTTTTTATGGTTAACACGGGTACATTGTGCTCTTGATGTTGTTAGGTATGGTTGGTGTGACATTTGAAGACAATGTTATTCGTGACTATTTAACATTTGTTGTAGTTGTTAGTGATAATGATATAATTGTTTTTGAATTTTTCTTTCTTTTATGTTCATTATTTTTTATTCTGAATAGTTCAATTAAATAATTGATTATAATCTTTGCTACATGCTTTAATAGTAAATGATTCATCATCGTTCTTAAATCCAATCTTGCTCTTAATATTATCTAATTGTTTGCTTGCTATATCCTTAATTTGGTGTGGATGAGTCTTCAGTTCAACTACACCCTCTGTCCACAAGGAAATGTTGTAAGAGGTTAATCATATTTGTATGGATTACATCGAGCTGGTGATGAAAATTTCAAACATAATAAATCGGAATTTATGATAATTGGAGAAATTTGTGGATTTATCAATGTCACTAGGTTTTGTCTTGAGCATTACACATGAAAGTAATAGCAAAATTGATAAAGAGTAAAAATTTATTTAACCATTTCATGGTTGTGTGATCAAATTAAATCAAAATTATCTTATGTATAAGATTATATTTTTCGTACGATTGATGCAATAATTTGGTGAAATCACATTGTTTTTTATAATGAGATTAATTTGTTTTTGTCGTTGCTGGTTGACATTATATATATATTGGTCGTGAAGTAAAATTATGTAGTATCACGCGCATAAATATAGGACTCATCATAGAAGGTACGACTATCCTCACACATGTATCGGTTTTTTCGTTCTTTATTGACGTCATTGATGATTAGATGGATTGGACGTTTTATGTTTGTATGTGTATGTAGATTCATTATTTACCTAAATAAAATGATCACAAGCAAAATATTAAAATAATTATTTTCTTTTAACTATATCTGATTAAATTTCTACTTGTGCCATTTTATCTTTCATCTAAGTTAATAGCAAGTATATCAGTTTTTGTAGCAAACACATGTATGGAAAGATGATCTTATTGTTTTTCTCTTATAAAATAATCAAAGTTTCTCTATTTTCTGTTAAAAAATATACATTAATAATCTTAATGTTATTTCTAATAATCGAACATTAAAGTGATATTCTTATTGTTTATTGAATAAATAAAGATTATTTCTTTTTCTTGGATGTCATTAATACTCGGTTCGCAAACTTAATGAATGGTTGTTCAACAAGACAATACTAGTAACATGCTATTACTTCTGATAGAATTACTTAACAATCACGATTGAACCAGTAATGAAACTACCATATCGTACATGTATAGTAGTATAAAACTTGATAATTTATAACGATCAATAAATTGTGACTGATTTAGTGAGAATGTTAAGTTATAAGAATCAAATAATGCTTCCGATTGTTCATAACTTATTTGATAGAATGGATACGATTGC